GCAACAAACCTCCGCACCCTCTCTGCATCAGTAGGGAGTATCATCAATGCATGGTGGGATAACTCAGAAAACCTCGCCTCATAATCGGTCATGGACATCTGACCCTGCTCAAGCTGCTCAAGCTGACACCGCAGCTCTTCCTCTCGGATGGTGGAATTTACCTGTCCAAAAATAACTGCGTGAACTGACCCCAAGTGATGGGATGTGAATCTGCGGGCCTGCCAAGTACATAGGACTGCCACCATCTACGGGCCTTGCCCTCCAGTTGAAAAGTAGTGAAGTCAACCCTATGCGACTCCAATATCCTCATGTTGTGCAGTTTGTCCCTGCACCTATCAATGAAGTCCTGGGCATCCTCATGACGCTCACCCCTGAAGACAGGAGGGTGAAGTCGAGTCCATCTATCCAACAACTTCTGCTGGTCACCATCCGCAGCTGGTCTAGGCTCGAGCACCACTGCGGCAACTAGCTGAGCCCCATCCGCGGGTAGTGCGCCCAGAGTCTGATACACTGCAGCTGCATGACTAGGAGCCTGAGCAGTAGGGGTCCATGCTCCCCCTCCCGCCTGAGACGTAGCTGGATCTGCTGGAAATAAACTAGTCTGAGTCATGGTGTCCATGAACTGCAGCATACGGCCCATCACCTCCTGAAAACCCGGTGCTGTCACTACCAGAAAATGTGCCTATGGCAACAGTTATTTTAGCAATGGTTCAACAACCGTTGCCATAGAACCTGTATGGTAACGGTTATAACTGTTACAGTAGCATTTAGGTGATATCAACACACTTTAACTATAGAATCGTTGCAATTGTAAAACAACCGTTGCTATAGATTCATCTGGCGCAACGGTTATATGAACTGTCCCAATAAAACAATCTACAGGAATGCTTTCGTTGTAAAAATTTCTATTGGAATGGTTATTTCCCCCCCCCCGCCCCCTTACTTTCCCTACGTTAAATTTTACTTACCACCCGACCAAAACCAACCCCANTATTTTCCCTCGTAAATTTTATTACACCCGCCAAAACAACCCCCATTCATTTTATTTTTTAATAATTTTAATAATATATATTAAATAAAAAACTTTTTGGCACTTAATTTCCCATTAACTGCGATATCTGCTAGGCGATACCCCCAAAACACCTAGGTCATCTTCTTCTTCACTAAACACCGAGAAATTACTGCCCCCATCTCTCTCTCTCTCTCAAAATCTTTGATCTTCTTCTTCGATGACCTAGGTCATCTTCTCAAAATCTTGCTAAAAACTCCGATACCCCTATATCTCTCTCTCTCCGATAACCTAGGGTTCGTTGTTTTCAAGAGTGTCTAAACAAATTGGTTTTGGCATTTTATTCTAATTGGTGTCGAGAAGTTGTGGTGAAGCTTGGGTTCATTTGTTTGGTGTTGAAATCGAATTTCTGGTGCTGAAGCTCGAAGAACAGCTTCAAATTTCTGGAGTTGAGTGCCTGAAGCTGTTGCGTAGCCTATGCACTCCTCGACACATCAGGTCTGATTTCTCTACGCATAACTTGTGTCATTTTCTGGATTTTGAGGGATTTGTGATTGATTAATCGAATAGAAGACTGAACTTCATTACTATTATTTGGGATCGATCGATTTGAATCTGTGAATTTGACTCACGTAGTTTAAGCTTGATTTTTTTTTTTGAGTATTGAACTGAATTCGCAGTTCGACTTGAGGCTGACATTGGTTGAAACTATTTGCTGTAAAATTTCTTGGAGATTGTTGAACTGATTTTGTGAGTTCGACTTGATAGTTTCTCTTGTTGTTGGAGAAACTATTTTCTTCTTTGTATGGCTCATTGTATATCCAATAAATTTACGCACTGTTTTGCAGAATTTCAGTTGTGATCGGTAGTCATGGCCATAGTCATGGCCATTGAACGATTAAGTCTTTCTATTTTGCAATTTCTATAATATTTCATGAAATCTTTTTGCATTCAGTCTCAAGACATATATAGACATAACTACGTCATCGTATATCAAAACAACGAAAATAGAACTCAAATTGTGTTAGCATAGGTGCTTAAATATGACATTAGCTCGAAACTTTAAACCCGAGAAAGTTAAGATTTAAGAATGTGCGTAGTCTAAAGTTAGGAGGTCTTGAAAATAAGTCATAGAAACAAAGGCTATAAGCTACCCAAAATGTAATATACTATATTATAAGCTTGCAAAATAAACTTTTTGAATTACCATTTTCACACTCCTTTGACTATCTCTACTAGGGGACACAAATTGCACAAGTTTCCATTAATATCTTAAGGAGGGATTTATGGCTCAAATTAGAGACTGTTGCAATTTCAAAAAATCTTGAAGCAAAAAAAAAGAGGGTAAAAATCCTTAGCAGAACCCATAGATTGAATGAGGGCTATGTAAAAACAATAAAACTAAGAATTGAGTCATGGAAGAAGCTGTGGTGATTAAACAAAGAAAAGAGAGCAGAACACTCATACTAATTGAGAAATAGAGAAATCTGCCAGCATGCTTTGGAACCAAATTAAAACATCTCAATGAAATCAAATTCAAAAAAGATGATCAGAATAATTTCTAGAATGGACTATTGGAGTGTGGCAGTAGAAAATATAAATTGAAAGTACAATACACGTGTTTAGAGATAAATAGGATGACGTCTCTAGCTTCGGATTTGGAAGAAGTCCAGACAACAGAACCATTATTTCGTAAGACCAAATCTCTAAGCTGTGTCAATAAAAGTTAAATGATTTGCTCATTTGATCATAGTGTAAAGATGAATATCAAAGACGAATCAAAGATGTAAATTTGATGAATTCAAACTTTATATTGAAATTTTAGTGATTTTTCACATGTATATCTATACTTGCAAAAGTACTGGTTTTAGTTGAACCCGTTAATTATATATTACATCCGCTTCTAGTGAATATGTGTATACATAGACTAAGAGTATTACCAGAACATAGCAGCTGAAGGAATGGCAAGTCTTATATATTGCCAAGTATCTTGAAATGCCTCGTTTGATAATCTGGTCCACGTGCTTTTGCAAGAAGGGGAGATTCTGACATATACAGCTAGCAACAGGAAATTAATCCAGTAGGATATCACATTAGCCAGAGCAGGACCTTTGTTTCCTAGGCCAGATTTAAATACCAGAATCCAATAACTGAACAAATACAGCAAAGTTGTTAGTCCGGTACTGAACATCATCGGTAGCACTATGTTTTGGGCTTGTAGAAATCTAATTTGACACTGGAGAAGCCCGTAGGCAAAGATCGTTGGGATCATATATCGCGCATAACTTCCTGCTTCAGCTGCTATTTTCGGATCTTGTCCCAATAATACAAGAATGCGTTCTACATTAGCCCAATAAATTTACGCGCTGTTTTGCGGAATTTCAATTGTGATCGGTAGTGGTTTAAACTCCTTTGAGTCTAATTAGTTTGTTTTTATATCTAAGGCAAGATTATTTCTTGTTTTCTTTGCTCGAATGCTCTCCAAGTAATCCCTTTCTGATGTCAATTTTTTTTTTTGCATGCTACTCCTTGTTGAACTATAGAACCTTCTTTGGTGGTATAGATATTATTAGCTGAGAGAAAGTTTATTTTTGGTAGCCGAGGAGAAATAATTGCTGGTAACTTAGGGAACACTCGTTGCTGGTAAGTTATCTTAATTTAAATTTTTGGTAATTGAATTTGCTGGTAGTGTATTTGTGTATTTGGCTTATTTATCTTGTTATGAATATTACTCAAAATTAGTTTATATTTTTATCTTGGGGACATGTTGCTGAAGTCTAATTTTTAGAACTGAATGCATGTGTTGAGTATGGGTCTAAATTAAAGTACTAAAAATGACGGAATAGGCAAGCATTGTTATTTATTATTGTTCTGTAACTTTTTTGTTGCAAGAATACAAAAAATTCAACCTATTTGTTAGAGTTGCCCAACTAGCTAGATATTTATTATGTCAGCATGCAGAAAACTCATAAAAATATACAAATGCACTATGTTAAAATTGATTATCTATGTTAAAATTAAAAATAAATATCCCACTTCTTTTCAGTTGCTCCTCCTTCTGAGTTTTCACCTTTAAAAGCATTGGTCAATATCTTATTATATGTAGGTTTATTTGGTTAATTTTGTTGATTTAATTTTATCGTATAGGATTTCTATGAATAATGGAGATAAAAGTTGGATGTATCTCCTAAGATGGACGGATGAGTATATCCGTGGAGTGAACAATTTTCTTGAGAAGGCATTTGAACGAGCTTCCCAGGGAAATGAAATATTATGCCCTTGCAAAAAGTGTATTAATCGCTATTGGCACTATAAAAATGTGGTGGAGGATCACTTGGTTGTTAATGGTTTTGTTGATGGTTACACCAAATGGGTTTTCCATGGGGAAGGGTTTTCCTCTAGAAATTCACCTCACCAAAGCAATGATGATGAAGGTTCTAACATGCGTGATGATTTTGATGGATTACTTCATGATACCTTTAGAAATGTAGAATGTGAGGCAGAGCAGGAAGAACAAATGAGAGAGACTCTATCTGAAGATGCTAAGAGATTTTTCAGATTATTAGAGGAAGGCAAACAAGAACTATATCCTAGGTGTGAAACCTTCACTAAATTGAGTTTTACTATTCGGTTGTACGTGTTTAAATCCTTGCCTGGATTGAGTAATGTGGCCTTTTCAGATATGTTAGAGTTGTTAAAAGAGGCATTTCCCTTTGCTCAGTTGCCAGAATCTTTCAACAAGGCTAGAAACATGATAAAAGATTTGGGTCTTCATTACGAAAAAATACATGCATACCCTAATGATTGCATGTTATTTTGGAAAGACAATGCAAAGGACGATAATTGCTTTGTTTGTGGGGCTTCTCGATGGAAAGTTGTTGATGCTTCCTTAACTTATACAAGCTCTAAAATTCCAGTAAAGGTTTTAAGGTACTTTCCCTTAAAGCCTAGGCTTCAGAGGATATTCATGTGTCCGTAAACAGCCATTGCAATGAGATGGCATGCTAAAGAACGACCCACTGATGGGAATATAAGGCATCCTGCTGATGGAGAAGCTTGGAAGCATTTTGATTCTCTACACCCAGACTTCTCCAGAGATTCACGTAATGTTAGGTTGGGTCTTTCAAGTGATGGTTTCAACCCATTTCTAACCATGAGCATTTCTCATAGCACGTGGCCTGTCATGTTAATGAACTATAATTTATCACCATGGATTTGCATGAAGCCAAAATATATCATGTTGTCAATGATCATTCCAGGTCCTTTATCTCCAGAAAATGATATAGATGTGTATCTGCAACCATTAATTGAAGAATTGAAGGAACTATGGGAAACTGGGATAGAAACATATGATGCTGAGACAAAGCAAACATTCCAAATGCGTGCAGCCTTATTGTGGACAGTTAGTGATTTTCTAGCTTTAGCAATGCTTTCAGGCTGGAGCACCAAGGGTAGATTGGCATGCCCCACTTGTAATTACGACACATGCTCACGATATCTCAAACATAGTCATAAGACGTGTTACTTGGGTCATCGAAGATTTTTGCCTCTTGATCATCCATCGAGAAAAGATAAGAAGTCATTTGATGGTAATGAGGAGCATAGACAGGCACCTACTCCTTTGTCGGGTGTGGAAATGTTTGAAGAGCTCCGTGAATTCAACAATGTCTTTGGAAAGGGAAAAAAGAAAAGACCATGGATAACAAGGGTCCGTGGAAAAAAATATCTATTTTTTTTTGAATTGCCATATTGGGCACATAATAAATTGAGGCACAATCTTGATGTGATGCACATCGAGAAAAACATATGTGACAGTTTACTTGGGACTTTATTGGAAATAGAAAAGAAGTCAAAGGATCATGTAAATTCTCGCTATGACTTACAAGAAATGGGGATACGAAAGGAGCTACAACCAAGAGAAGATGATGATGGTAGTGTGAGTTTGGCTAATGCTTGTTTCTACATGAAACCAGGACAGAAAAATTTGTTTTGCACCGTTATGAAAAATGCCAAGTTACCAAAAGGGCGTGCTTCAAATATTTCAAATCGCGTGCAAGTGAAGGAGATGAAAATATCATAGTACAAGAGTCATGATGCTCATTTTATAATGCATTACTTGCTCCAGGTTGCTGTTAGAAAGGCGTTTCCCAAGAGCGTCTCGTTGGCCTTGTTGAACCTGAAATTGTTGAAATAACTTGTGAGCTTGAAAAGATTTTTCATCCAACATTTTTTGACATAATGCCACATTTGCCTATTCATTTGGTGAATGAAATTAAGCTTGGGGGTCCGGCTCATCTTCGTTGGATGTATTCCATTGAGAGGAACCTATGTAACTACAAGGCATTTGTTTTTAATCGATCTTGTCCAAAAGCATCAATAGCAGAGGGATTTTTGGCGGAAGAGTGCTTGAATTTTTGTTCAAGATACATACATGATGGCGTGAAGACAAGATTCAGTAGATACACAACTGTGGATGATGAGTGCCCTCAAAATTTGTCACCTATATTCCCTATGATAGGACATCCAATTGTAAGTATGAAGAAAAATACTTTTCTCATGGATCCACAGTTATGTTTTGAAGCCCATCGGTATGCTCTGTTCAATACTGGCGATGAACAAGTGGAAAAGTTTATCGAGTAAGATAAATTAAGTAAGATTTATTTAATTTATATGTTTCTTTTTCTTTATCATATGATTGATTTTATAAAATTCATGATTGCAGGGAACATAAGAATTTAATTGGTAGTCACAGTAGATCAAATGCATGGGAAAGGGCAAGGAAGTATAGTTGGGAATTCAACAATTGGTTTGCAGAAAAAGTTAAAAATATTGAAGAACCCGATTATTTAAGATGGCTAGCTAAAGGGCCTAATACGATCGCCAAAAGATATACTGCATATTTTATTAATGGATACCGATTTCATATCATAGAACGGGATTCCCGATGCAAGATTCAAAATAGTGGTGTGACTTTATCGGCAACAACCGATAGCTTTGCTAGCTCTAGGGACCAAAATCCCATCGATAGTGAGGTTATCTATTATGAAGCTATTCAGGATATCATTGAGATTGATTATTGGGGTTGTTTTAGCGTTGTACTATTTAGATGTGATTGGTTCCGTAACGAAATAGATGAATATGGGTCAACTCGTGTATACTTTAACAAATTATGTAGTACAGATGACCATTTTGTGTTGGTATCAAAAGTTTATCAAGTTTTTTATGTGGAGGATCCAGTTGAGAAAGATATTTATTATGCAAGGAATAAAGTCCATGTTGATTTGTATGATTTAGAGGAAGAGAATTGCCCTAATATTGAAGACGCATTTTGGAGAGAGCCTAATGATGACATTGGTTCCTTAAGTGGATTTGTTGATGCTGACGTTAGATGGTCTAGAGACGACGTACCCGTTGGTGTCATTGATATTCCATCTAATGCACAACATTCAAATGATACAATTATAGAAACATCGGAAGAGGAGGATGAGTTTGACGATACTGATTAGGACTGGATGGAATCAGATGATTAAAGAGGGAAATTCTAAAATTCTTTTAAATATATTCTGGTTTGAGTGAGTGATAATGTTTTTTACCAATATTTTATAATTACTCTTGTTTCTAATACTGCTCTTTTTAATATATATTTATTTTTTTTCCTTTAGCATTTTATTCTGATGCTTCAATTTTTGCAGGATTTTTGGTTTTGGATCTTGTGATATTGTTGCACTTGTTGATAGCAATCGGTAGAGGCTTGAATCTACAGATAATTGAGGTACTGATAACATTTATAACACTTGTCAATACTTTTGTATTCCAATTCCATTGCATGTGATAGCCTCCTGCGCATATACAGTTTCCATTCCATTGTTCAAGCTCATTCAATGTCTATAGGCTTCCTTCTAATACATGTTTAAGTTTCTCATTGAGTGTCAACAAATAGCTCTAAAAATCTTTGGTGTCTAAAAATCTAGTGAACTGTAAACATCTCATTAGAACTACAATTCCCTTACTTCTTCTTCTTATTACTTTTATCTTTTTACTCTAAAATATCTCATTAATGTTAAAAAGTAACTCAAGTAGTCTATTTTTCACCCATCTGCTTAGTTTCCACCCTAGTATTAGAACAACATAATGAACAGAAAAAAGGGGAAGCTATATTACTCCTTTAAAAAGGATAGAAACTAGAGAGGAAGAAAGTATGTCCTTTCCATATAATAAATAGATATAGACATGTATAAGCAAATAGACTAGGAAATGGTAGTATGAATTTTCATTACCTTTTATATTCACATCTTTCAGTACTTTTCTGAAAATTCCTGGCATGATATTGGCTAGCCTTACTATTTCATTCACAACCTGCAGCTCAGTTCTTAATCTTTATTAACAACAAAACAAAGGTAGGATTATAAAATTGTTATACCAAAATTAGAGTATATTATATAAGAAGTACCTTGAACCATTTAAAATAAGATAAAAGCACAAATACCATATGGAAAGTAAATGCACCTTATGTGTGAATGTCATTGACTTGTATTCTGCCCATGAAATCGCGGCCTCTTTGTCCTCTCGGTTTTTAACAATTTTCTCGTGTTCTTCCTAAATGAAGCAGAAAAAGAAAAAAGATTTAGTGTAAGATAATATGAGAAATAAAAGACAAGGTAGAAGTAAAATAGGTGAGAAAAGATTTTCAGGAACGAACCATAAGTTGTGGCAACACCTGAGGATGATCATTGAGAAACTTAAGACCTAAGGCAATGGCAGCAGATGTGGCTCACCACAGGGAAACCTCTCTATGGAGCATGGTTCTCTTTATTCTTTTCTTTCTTTCAGAATCTGAAGATTGTTCAAAAAATATTAGATTGTTCAGCCATAGGGTTTACCATGACTCTTGTACCTACTGTTTGTATCTTAGCAGCATGAAGTTACTCAATAGATTCTATTGTTTGTGTTTAAATATTTCTTAGCTCTCATGTGTATCTAATTTTGAACAGAGGAAAGTGGATCATAAATCAGGAAGGGCGCTCAAGTAAAAATAAAAAATTAACAAAATGCATAGCAGCTGCCTCTGCATTCTACTTCTACACCAGCACAAACAGTACGTGAGCAAGTGCAGCAAATGCCACTGAACTCTACACCTTCAGCATCACAAGCAGTACGTGAACAATTGCAGCATTCTACTTCTGCAGGTGGATCGCTGCCTCTGCATTCTACTGCTGCACCAGCACAAAAAGTACATGAGCAAGTGCAACAAATTCCACTGAACTCTACCTCTCTTGCATCACAAGCAGTACATAAACAATTGCAACAACTACCACTGGATTTCACCCCTCGTACTTCACAAATGGTACAAGAACAAGTTGAGGATTCTTCTAATCATGAAACAAACGAGCAATCCGAGGAACAAGGCAAGAACATATAGATTTCAATCGTCAAATTCAATAACGTAATGACTTTTGGTGATTATTCTTACTTCATATTTATGTAGGTTCTTCTGTCGAAAAACGAAAAAGAGGAAAAACTCAGATGCAAAGTGTTCATGGTAGGAAAGAGCGCAAGAAAATTGTGCTAAATGAGAACAATCAACCATAGGTCCTACTGATGATGATATAAATGAGTTGGGTAGCTTCCTTGGTACATTGGCAAGGAATGCGACCTTTTGTCCTCTTAATGTGTTTGATTGGAGGAAACTTGAGACAAAAGAAGATATGTGAAAATATGTCAAGGTTTGAAATTCGCAATATTTAATAGGTGTATGTGGATATTTCATATTGTTTACACCAACCTAACTGCTCTAAATTTGTAGGGAAAATATGACATTCATGAAGGTGCAAAAACACGGGTTTTTCACTTAATTTCAAATGCTTGGATAAAGTACAAAAACCAGTTATATAAAGACCATTTTGAACCCTATGAGAATGACGAGCTTCGAATGGAGAATAGGCCAGTTGATGTTCCGAATTCTCAATTTAGGGAACTTCTTAGATATTGGAGCTCTGATACCTACAAGGTAAAACTGAATATTGTTCCATGATTTGCTTAAATATCTGATTTTTGTTTATTTAGAAACTTCTTGTTGCACTTGTGGCTGTCTTGGAGCAGCATTATTTGGTAAAACTCTACCCCGAGAACTGATTGTATTACATGAACTGATTGTATTACATGAACTATTGTTGGTAACTACAACAGCTATAATTAGAATTTTCCAGGTTAGCAATAATAAACAATGGATTCAAGGCGGCAATATTCGTTTCTGTGGTTTGTTTCGCTGTTATTCAAAAACAAGAGAGCTTTTCCATGTTTAAACGATTAAAGTTGATAAGCGACCACATTAGTGTCACATTTATCATTTTGCACCAAGCGACGAGTTTTGCTATTCAGTGTAATTTATGAGCTAGTAAAACATGAAAAAGAAAGTTCCATCAAGTGTCATCTTCAGCAGCAAACTAAGGTTCTAAACCAGCCTTTTCTTCCTCAAAAACAGCTTTCAAGTTTCAACAGGTATGTTTTTATTTTCATTCTTCTTCTTCTTCTTCTTCTTCTTCTTTTTCTTTTTTTTTTTCTTTTTCTTTTTCTTTCTAAACGTCCAAAAAGCGCCGAAATGCTGGCGAATTTTTTTCAGAAAAATTCTGCCCCGTTTCTGCCCAAATTCTACCAAAATTCTGTACATCATCTCATCATAGTGTTTGCACCAGAATGTGCATGATAGCATAATTCATGGAGGCTCCATTAGCTACGTTTTCCGGATGTGTCTTCCTTCTCCGTTTGTTGTGACCTGCTAGCATTATTAATATAAGCTTGCCTTACCCAAAATAATCTTCAGAAGAGAGGCTTTGTTCTGTGTAGCAGATGTATTTAGTGTCAATGTTTCTTTTTTGTTGCAGAAAATGAAAGAAACCAACATTGAGAATCGCAAAAAGTTGAGATATCCACACACTGCTGGCAAAAAAAGTTTTGCTAGAATATGCGAGGTTTGATGTATTTTTTCTTATTATTCTTTTAAATATGAACTTGCTAGGCATAATCTGAACTATTTTATACCACTTTTTATGTAACCAGGAAAAAAAGAAAGAAACTTCTGAACCTCTATCAAGTAAGGATATATTTGTGGCTACAAGAAAAAGAAAGCCCGATCGAGTATACAAGGCCTCGTATGCGGATACTCTTAATAAAATTGTACGAGTTACTAATTTAAAGTTTGTTGATATCATTTGTCTATTATTAGTTATTGACTCAATTTTATATACTTTGTAATCTAAAATTGACTCAATTTGGACTTGTAGGCTGAAATGGATAGAATACAATCAACACAAGAAACTGAAGATGGCAGTCAATCAGTTGACGCGTTTGCATCCGTCATGGGACCTGAGCATCCAGGACGCCTAAGATTGTACGGACGTGGGGTTACCAAGACTTCCTTAAAAAGAAAAGTGGGAGATATTGGAACCTCTTCAAGTTCTACCGATGAGATGCTGCAACAAAAAATGGTGGAAATGGAAGAAAGGATGCAACAAAGAATGCAGGAAAGGTTCAATGCACAAAAAGATGCCATGGAACTACAAGTTGCAGTTAACATCATTTCACAACTTAAGCGTCTGAATCCAGACTTACGGGTTGATCCCAGCATGCTAGCTTTCAATGGTCATTCACCTGGAGATGCTTCCTCTGCCCAACAAGCTGCTGTGCAACTAATCAATCGTCTATCTACTGGGAGTAATAATCGAGGTCAGTACGTACTCTTCTTCTCTTCCTCCTCCTCCTTCTTCTTCTTCTTCTCCTTCTTCTCCTTCTGTTGCTTTTCTGGCACTATTTTCTGCCACTGCTCTCTCTGATTTACTATTATCCAAGTGAATCTTTTACTTATAGTACTGTTTGCAAGTTTTCTGTATTTGAATGTTATTGCAACTTATGAAGTTTACAGGTTGTAGTCACGAGTATCAGTTTTGTTATGTTACTCGCTTGGCTTTTGTTCAATTTACAACTATCGGCAGGAAACTCCAATGTATAATTTCTCATATGATCTTTTAAAGTTTCTAATTTTAGCGATGATTAGGTCTTTTGTTGTTTGAAGTTATTAGTTCAAGTGAAATCCATTAGTTTCTTTGGGGTATTTGTCAAATGGGATGTAGGGTGGTCTTACAATAAAATTCTTTTACCGAAGTTTCTTTTGGGTTTTTGTCAAATAGGATGGAGAGTGGTGTTATGTAGGGCGGTGTTATGTGGTGTTACAATTAGAGAAAATTCTACTACACCCATTCTTATTTAATGACTTTATTTATTCTCTTTTGTAGGTGGAGCAACTGAAGAAAGGGAAGATGGAGAAGGTGGAGCAACTCAAGAAAGGGAAGATGGAGATAGTGAAGATCTAGACCTTACTTAAGAAGAACTTTGAGTTGTCGTCGATATTCTTGGAGTCTTTTGTTATAGCATTTGAAACTTTAACTTTTGAAGCGTTGAACTGTAAAACTTATGTAATTGGGTTAAAACATTTTGCTATTATCGTTATTCTTAGCTTATTGGATATGAAAGTTTATGAAGTATTTTATATTTTTATTTATATAATTTTCAGGTTATAATTACAAATATTTCCAGGTGGTAATGTCAATTAATGGTTTAAAATAGCCTAATAGAACCGTTGCAATAAGCACAAATGCCATTGCCATAGACATTCTGAATCGTTTCGATAGGTCTTGCAAATCGTTCCATAAAGTGTGACAAACTGATGCAATAGAAACAAAACCGTTACGATAGCGCAATAAAACCGTTACAATAGCTGTAAATAAGCGTTGCAATAACATATATAACTGTTGCAATAAACTATATTGTAACAGTTTCCAACCATTGTAGCAAATAATATGGTAACAGTTTACAACCGTTACATAGACTATACGGTAACGGTTTTTAACCGTTGCAGTAGAAATGAATACTCGTTGCTTAAGACAGAGGAAAAACCGTTGCGATAGCGGGATCTATAGCAACGGTGTTGTCAACCGTTTCCAAAACCGTTGCTGTAGATCAATTGGCACGCGAGCGGATGTCACGGTCGCTGAACCGTTCCAATACATCTATGGAAACGGTTGGCCTATCAATTGCAACGGTTTACTTGCTATTGCCATAGGCCTATTTTCCAGTAGTGTGTCATAAAAGTCTGCAAGGGTAGGCTCTGCTGCAGGCACCTCGCCCTGCTCCTCAATGATGGGATCCCCCGCAGGATCTGCCGGTGGTGCTACTAGTACAGCTCTGGGATGCCCTCGTCCCCTACCTCGGGTCGGTGCCCTCCCCCGGCCTCTACCTCGGCCTCTAGCAATGGGGAGAGTAGCTCCTCCCGGATCTGGAATATCTATCGCGCGCGTCCCCACCATCTGTGAGAGAATAGAAGAGGGACATTTAGTATACCAACCACTGCACAATAGGAAGTGAATAAAGAGTAGTTTCCTAACACCCTATAGCCTCTCGAAGATAAATACAGACGTCTCTGTATCGATCCGCAAGACTCTATTAGGTTTGCCAATGACTTGTGAGACCTACGTGAACCTAGTGCTCTGATACCATATTATCACGATCCAATTTCACCTCAAGTCGTGATGGCGCCCAACACCGTTGTCAGGCAAGCCAATGCGGAAGTATTAGTGAATTCTTGTTTTACTTTACTAAAACAGTTACGACAATTTCTAAATTTGAATTTAAAACATGGGATAATTAGCAACGTATAATAATAGTTATACAACCCAAAAGAATAGTCAACTAATGTGTGTGCCAAGACCTG